AAACCTTTTTAAACATTTTAAAATGTTTATATATATATTATTATTATTTTAGTGAAATACAAAAGATTATTGAGATCGTAGTTTTATAAGACATTTATTGTTAATGAATAATTATTCGGTAAGTAATAAAATTATTAATAATAATTGACCTATTAATAATTAATTTTTAATTTTTATATTAATTTATTTTGTAGATCATTATGAAATCGAAAAAAATTAAAATACTCTTAACGAGAGAAATTATTAAATGGCAACGCAGTTCACAATCATCAATAATAATTAAAAAAGAAATGCGACAAAAATTATTGAAATTATATTTGTTATATAAAAGATTGAAAAAAAAGAAAGTATTAAAAGAAAATTTTGGGTTCGTCCCATATTTACTATAAGACAAAAAATGTTGCAAGGTGCAAGCAACAATCTCATTAAAGAAATGGAAGAGTCTGATCCAGATAAATTTGTTGAATATCTGAGAATGGATACACCAGTATTAAATAAATTATTAGATATAGTTAAATAAAAAATCGAAAAACAACATGCAATAAGAGAATCGATTTCTGCATCAACTCGTCTACAAATATGCCTACGATATTTGGCATCAGAAGATACAATGCCTTCGATTTCATTTGCATTTAGAGTGGGATTAAATACTGTTTCTAAAATTATTAGTGAAACATGTACAGCTATTTGGGACGTTTTAAGTGATCAAGTTTTTCCAAAAATTGATAAAATACTTTGGAAAAGAAAGGCACAAGAATTTGAAACACTGTGGAATTTTCCTCACTGCATTGGAGCTATTGATGGAAAACATATTGAACTTCAGGTATTATTAAAAAAGTAAAATAAATAACAAGCAATAGAGTAAATAAAAACATTATTAGATTTGTTTTATTGCATGTTGTTTTTCGATTTTTGATTTAACTATATTTAATAATTCATTAAATACTGGTGTATTCATTCTCAGATATTCAACAAATTTATCTGGATCAGACTCTTCCATTTCTTTAATGAGATTGTTGCTTGCACCTTGCAACATTCTTTGCCTTATAGTAAATATGGGACGAACCCAAAATTTTCTTTTAATACTTTCTTTTTTTTTCAATCTTCTATATATTCTAGATATTCGAAAAACGGCAACGCCGTCTCAGAGCGGGAAAATGTAATTGACAGTTCATAGTTTGACGTATCCGTTTTTCGAATATTTACAGTTATAATGCACGAATATTGAGAGGTGAAGCACGCATGGTCCGGTATGCCTGACATGTCCGACGAGACGCATGTAACTTCATGTAAAAAGGCATTCCTGTCCCCGTGTGTATGTACAAGCAAATCAAAAGACACGGTAGTGTCTCACGCCAAGTTCACGCGCAGCGCAAGACCGAACGTGTATCTTTACGCGAGCCCAAAGAGCCCAGAGAGCCGAGATTATCGGAACTCAATGATGCCTGGGCCGATCGAGTTGATAATAGTCTCAATCGATAGCGCATACCCAAAATATATAATAAAAGTATGCTTGCTTTTGCTCTACGTGCTCTATAAATAAACATATCAAAGTCCAAAGTCGAAATGTCAAAAAATATATTAATTTTCTAGGACAGTTATCATTTTTCATACTAGATGACTATTAACATGTTAGGTTTGTGTTGGTGGCGCTATAGGAGATAGCAAGTAGCGCTTACCAAATAACCTTACAGAAGATGTGTCAAAAGAAGACTCTGGCTCTGACCGCCGTGGCGCACGCACGCGATCGGAGCCTCTGTGCTGCTAGCAGCGTTCTAGCCGTTATCCTTTATTTGAATAGAAATAGAAGATAGGGTAGTTAATACAAAGATTCTTATCGATTAAAATTAAAATATATAAAGGTGAATAAGGAAAAAAATTCCCCCCTCGGAGGGGGGAATTTAATTTAATTGATAAGCGGAGTCTGCTCCTGAAGAGAATAGGAGGAAAATAAAATAAAATAGAGTATGGACAGAAAAAAGAAAGGAATGGACGAGGTCATCAGTGATCGAGAGATGGATGTAGAAGTGGTAAGGGGAAAAAGAGACGCAACAGAAGCTAACTTAGATAAAATAGCTGCCCAAGTACAGCAAAATTGTGAAGAATAGCAAACAGTGGCGAAAAGAAAGAGACATGTAAGAGAAAAAATGACGAACCTAGAAGATGACCTATCAGAGGGGATAACATATGACGACAATAGAGAAGAAGTAATAAAAGAAGGGATGACCTATAGATTTAAACGTGTCGAGAGAAATAAACAATTAGAAGAGGAACCAGTAAAAGTAACGGAACACGTATCAATAGGTAATAGTAGAAGTAAAGAAACACTAACGCTCGCCACACGGGAAGTAAATAAAGTAAGTCGAGAAATCTTTATTAATTATAAAGGCAGTTTGGTAAAATGTAGTGAAATTAATGATAATAATAAAAGATTTGACACGTCAAAAAAATTTGAAGAAGACCCTTTTAATAATTATAAGATAAATATTAGACTTAGTAGAAAACAAGCACAGACAAAAAAAGAAAAAAATATGGTGAAGATTTGGTTGATATTGAATAAACAAAAGATAAGACCGGTTACAATTACTATGACTAGTTTTTTAACAGCAGAAATTCTCTTTTTGAATTGCATAGACGCTAATAAATGCTTAGACATTTTAGAAAAAGAATCGGAAAGGAATGGAATCACGGCTAGAATAGATGCCAAAAGCACCTCCTGCCGCGGGGTAATTACTGACTGGCCAGGAAAGATAGAAGAGCTAGTAGAAGCCATCACAGACGACGAGAAAGGAGACATTTTGAGATTGGAAAGGATGTGTAGACGTAAATAGGACACGGAACAGAAGATGTTCACGAATGTAGCCACTGATAACATTATTATTACAATGAAGGGAAGCAAATTGAAGGGAAGTATAAGCTTATTTGATAATAAACTAGCAATTAAAATAAGACCCTATGTCGCTGCCATAATGCAATGCTTTAAATGTTATAAGTTCGGACATATTAAAGCTACATGTAAGAGCAAAGAAAAATGTGTTATTTGCGGCCAAATGGCCCACGGAAGATGCGAAAAAAAGGTATGCTGTACAAACTGTGGAGGCCAACATAAATCAACTTTTAAAGGATGTCCAGTCTATGAAAAAAACAAGAGTGTCAACTTAATTATGGCATATCATAACGTATCATATTTTAAAGCTGTCAATATTGTATTGGGTAGGGAGGATAAACCTGCCATGGTCTATGATAGATACATAGTACCGGAAAGATGGCCATCTCTAACTAAGAAAAAGGTAACACATAGAAAGGAAAGAGTAATAAGGACAAAAAGTAAGGAAAAAATAAATGAGAAAGAAACCCAGGAAAAACAACAATATAGGACTATTACCCGGGAGATGAACAGTGTTGACTGTATGGTTGCTTGTGGTAACAAAAATAACTGATTAAATGCTGGATTTTGCTATAATGCTTTTTAATGCAAAACGTGTACAAAAGGTGCGACATAGCGTCGATGCTCGCTTCCACGCAATCTCTACCTGCCTGACTCCCTCTGCTGTCCTATCTCGCTAGTTGACTACGTGAGTCTAGCGGGCTATTCAAACGTAAACAATAAATATTGCACGATTTTGCTTGATTACTTAACATACCGCCGCCCTTGAAAGAGTGTCTTTCAACATAAATTTGATAAACACTTTAATACTTAATCTTAATAAACTAAATGTAACATAAGAACGATTATGATAGAATACGTATAAATAAGGCTTAACAATTAATTAAATCCAATCGTTGGCTCGCTAGTCTTTAAAGGGAAGAGCACATATTTTCTTTACAGCTCGCTTGTATATGCCAGTGGTTGTACGTATAGTCACAACTCTTACAAGCCCATCATCTCCTGGATGTAAGTCTTCTACTCGTCCTAACTTCCACTGAAGAGGGGGAAGAGCATCTTCAATGAGAAGGACTAGATCTCCCTTTTGTACAGTGTAATCTCCGTTTTTCCATCGGGTTCTAGTTTGCAATTGTTGTAAATATTCTTTATGCCACCGCTGCCAAAAATCTTGTCTTAACTTTTGTATATGTTGCCAGCGTGACAAATGATTATCCTTTATTTCTAGATAGTTAACTTCAACAGGCCTTTTTAATGATTCGCCTATTAGAAAATGAGCGGGCGTGAGTGGTGCAAAATCATTAGGATCGGCGGATAAAGCCGTTAAAGGTCTGCTGTTTAATATTCCTTCTATTTCCACTATAGTTGTGTAGTACTCTTCGTACGTGTAGTGCAAATTTTTCATAATAATTTTCAAATGCCTCTTTACGCTCTTAACAGCGGCTTCCCATAGACCGCCGAAATGGGGTGAACGTGGGGGTATAAAATGCCAGTGAATGTTTTGAGTAGCACAATCTAGTGCAATAGTTTGTTCGTTTTGTTGAAGAAGCTCGTAAACTTCTTTCAATTCGTTAGCGGCTCCTACTAGATTAGTGCCATTGTCTGAATATACATGCATTGATGATCCTCGTCTGGCGCAGAATCTTCTAAAGGCTGCCATAAAGGCTTCTATCGTCAGATTACTGACGAGTTCTAAATGTACTGCTTTGACTTTCAAGCAGATGAAGACCGCCACATATGCTTTTGTTATGGGAATATTGCCTTTCCTTTTGCTCTCGCGGATATTAAACGGCCCGGCATAATCTATGCCGCAGTAAACGAATGGTCTGCTAGCAGGTGTTACTCTAGATGCTGGAAGATCTGCCATCTTTATATCTGGAACAGTGGGTCTGTAACGGAAGCAGGATATACATCTTCTTACGACCTTTCTAACTTCTCGTCTTCCAGATAGGGGTCAATATTGCTCTCGTATGCTTGCTAATAACTGCTGAGGACCGCAGTGAAGTAGCTTTTCATGCTTTTGTCTCAATATTATCTCCGTCACATGATGTTTGGCGGGTAATAATATTGGATACTTCTGTCTGTATGATAATTCAGAATGTCGTAGCCTACCTCCTACCCTGATGATACCTTTACTATCTGTGAATGGATTGAGAGCAGCTGCTGGGCTGTTCTTGTGTACTCGATTCTCTTGTTTCAGTGCGCGCAATTCTGCTGGAAAGCTTTCCTCTTGTATCATACGGCTGATAACTAGTTCTGCATACTGTAGTTCCTCTATTGTTAATGTGCCCATCTTACGTTTTTTTGATAGAATATTCTTGAATCGCAAGCAATAAGCAATAACTCTCTTGAGTCTCTCAAATGAAGAATACCTTCTAAGAATGTCTGATTGTTTTGTCGTTACCGTAAGTACCGTTTCTTCGCGTAAGCCTGTGTTGCTTTTTGATGTATGAAGATTTGATTTAGGCCATTCTTCTTTAGATGATAGCCATCGAGGGCCATGCCACCATAGTTCATCGCTGAGTAGCTTCTTCGTTGTCACTCCTCGAGAAATAACATCTGCAGGATTTTGTGCAGTTGGTACATAATGCCATTTTGCTCCAGATATTGAGCTCTGTATTTCCGTAACTCTGTTGGCATAGTAAGTCTTTAATTTATGTGGAGCTGTATCTATCCAATGTAAAACAATGGTGGAATCACTCCAGAAATGCACCTCTCTAATAGAACGTCTTAGGGCTTTAATAACCGCTACTACCAATCTTGTTACTAAAAGGGCTGCATTGAGTTCTAGTTTTGGCAGTGATACAGTTTTTAAAGGGGCAACCTTTGCTTTAGAACATACTAAATAGGAATTCTTAGTTTCTTGTTCTGTCCTGTAGACACAGTATACACAAGCTCCATATGCTTTCTCTGAGGCATCGCCGAATCCGTGCAATGTGAATGATTGATATTTGTTGTGTGCATTGAAATTTCTTGGTATTTCCACTTGGCTTAACGCTTGAAGAGACTGATAATAATCCGACCAAGTATTGTAAAGTCCTTGAGGTACAGTTTCGTCCCATCCTATGTTCAGTTTCCATAATTCCTGCATAATGATTTTGGCTGTGATTACAACAGGTCCTATTAATCCCAATGGATCATAAATTTTTGCTATTTGTGACAGAATACTGCGTTTAGTGGTTTTATTACTCACTGCTAGTTTAACCGCATATTGCAACGTATCTTTATTTGAGTTCCATAGTAGGCCTAGTGTTTTCATCGGTTCTTTATCATCTAAAACCAATAATGAATCTGCTTCTTGATCGTCGGTAATATCTTGTAAGATTCCTGAATCATTGGCTCTCCATTTCCTGAGTGGAAATCCTGCTGCTTGGAGCAACTCAGTTAACTCCTTTCTTAAGTCGATGGCTTTTTGTATAGTGTTTCCGCCAGTTAATACATCATCCATATAAAAGTCATGCAGTAAAGCTTCTGCTGCTAATTTTCGTGTAGCGGCCTCTGGTTGTGTTGCAAGATGTTTCAGACAGCGCATCGCTAGATACGGAGCGCATGTAATGCCGTACGTCACAGTGTTCAACGTATATACTTTTGTTTCCTCTGAAGAATCATAACGCCATATAATTCTCTGCAAATCTCGATCTTCTTTCGCTAACCAGATTTGTCGGAACATCATCTTAATATCTGCTGTTATAACATACTGATGTGCTCTAAAGCGGATCATTATTTCCCACAACTCATTTTGTAGATTAGGTCCACTCAACAATTTATCATTTAATGAAGTACCTATATTAGTTTTAGCTGAGCCATCAAATACGACTCTCAATTTAGTTGATTAGCTTGTTGCTTTTATGACAGGCTGATGTGGTAAATAGTAATGTTCATGTTCCAAAGAAAGATTCTGATGTTCGCTTAGTGACAGATGTCCTAGTGCTTCATATTCTCTTATGAATCTATTGTAATCTTCTTTCATAGTAGCTTGTTGATTCAGTTTCCTTTCCATAGCTAAGAATCTTTTTTTTGCTAAGTCTTTTGATTCTCCTAACTTAACTGTTTCATCTTGAGGTAATCGTACAATGTATCTTCCTCTATCGTCTCTTTGCACAGTGCGTATAAAGAAATCCTCTGCCTTCTGTTCTTGAGGTGTGTAATATTGTTCCGATTTTATTGGTGGTTCTTCCATACTCCAGAACTTTTCTAATTGTTCGCTGAGATTCATTGCGATTATATTACAAATCCTATTGTGTTTTGTGTGCTTGGAATTTACAAGTTCTCCACCTACGATCCATCCTAACAGGGTCTCTTGTAATCTTGGTAGTGACTCAGATAATATCTTCTGCTGTGGACATATTATTTTCCAAAAAACGTTACTGCCTATGAGTATGTCTATTTGTGCTGGCAAATTAAATTCTGGATCAGCCAACTCTATATCCTCTGGAATGTTCCAATTGCATGTATTGACCTTGACCTGCGGTAGCTTTTCTGTTATATTGGGCATTATTAAACAATTCAAATCTGCTGAGAATTCGCTGTGCATGGACCTGATACGTATGACTACTGATTCCTTGGCCGTAACTTGCGTTTGATTAATTCCGCTTATAGGTATAGTTATTTTATGGCTTTTTAATTTAAGCTTTCTTGATATTTCCTTAGTTATAATGTTGCTTTGTGAGCCTGGATCTAGTATAGCCCTACATGTTATCAATTGACCTTCTTCATTTATTACGTATATTTTTGCGGTTGCTATAAAGACAATAGACTCTGCTTGTCGTGTTGTGTGTACTACTACTGCTGTATCCTTGCTCCCTTGTGATGAATCGGCGCTCTGTTTTGATTCACTTATTAAATCTATATTGCCAGATTCTGTTGTACTAGTCATTACTGTTTTTGATTTGCTTAATGTGTTCTTGTTTTTATTCTGTTTTTCTTTATCCGAATGCAACATAGTGTTATGTTTTTTGGAACATATCTTACATGCTGAAGCTGTGCAGGCTTGTACGTAATGTCCCTTGCGTAGACAATTAAGGCAGAGCTGTCGCTTCTTAACTTCTTCCCATTTCTTGGAAGCCGATAATTCCTGAAACTTTTCGCATTTTGCAATATGATGAGAGCTTTCGCAGTAAACACATGCTGATTGTGCTAACGCTGCAACGTAAACGCTTTTGCCTATCTTTTTCCCAGTAGACTTCGCATTGTCTGTTTTACCTTTAGATCCTTCTACTAACTCTAAAGTATGCGCTCTGTTTGTTAAAAAATCTAATAAGGCTTCTAATGAAGGCATGTTATTTTGTTCTTTCTTACTTACTTCTAATTCCCAATCGCGTCTAGTTATATAGTCTAATTTGTCGCTTAATAAATAAATGAGAATAGTATCCCAATGTGCAATCGGTTGTTTTAAAGCCTCTAGTGCGCGAACGTGTGTACGAACCGAGTCTATGAATGACCTTAATGCTACATGACTGCCTTTAGTTACTACGGGTAAATCAAAAAGTTCTTTAATATGCGTATTAATAATTAACTTTGTGTTTTCGTATCTTTCTGTTATAAGCCGCCATGCTATTTCGTAATTTTCTTCTGTTGTTTCTAATGTATGTATAACCTGTATCGTATAACTTCGTATAATGTATGCTAT